CCGGGTGTGCTACGGTGGCACCTGGAGCATGCAAGCGACTCATAAGCAATTAGCTGAGGCCCGGCTGGCGATTGGAGCGCTGCAAGGATTTATGGGGGATTAGTCCAGGCCAATGAAAACCACTGGTGCCTGAAAGTGGTGCCAGCAGTAATTGCCATTATTTGCTGGTTTGAGTTCCAGGCACAGTAGGTGTGTTGGAAGGATGTTTGTCACATCTGAGACATTGCAAGGCGTTGGCTCCGAGAAGTCAAATATTTTCTTAAAATATAAAAAAAATACCAAAAAATCTTGTAAAGTCTGATTTTGTTAATGCACTTTATTTAAAAAAAAAACATATTGGCATAAAAATTAAAATAGTCGACCATCTGTGGGAGTTTTTAAGTTTGTCTTAGCAATCGTTTTCCACCCAACTCGTGTATACAACAAATTAAATATTGTCCTTCTTCACCTTCGGTCTCATAGGTACCTTACATGTCATTTCATTCATACATGCTGGTGTGGCAGCCAGCAGACACAAAAGATCTGAGGACATGAAATGGGGATTTCACATCGTCTCGAGGAATCACTCGGGCTCTGGACGCTTGACCACACATCTATAAAGACCAGTTAGATCCATATAACTCACAGTCCCCCCTTTGAAAAGTCACTCCATTGTGTTGAAAGCCTGAGAAATCAGAGTGAGGTATTTCAAGCTATTAGAGGGTTTTCCTAACTGCTGAAATCCAAAGGTCACGTTACTGGAAAGAAGGCTAAGTTTAGCCTCTGGACTTGAAGAAATGCACTGTAATATTTATATCGTTTTTTAGAAATATTTATTTTTGATTAAGACTGTTACATTTTTAAAAAGTCATTTTTGAAAAATGTGTCCAGAGGTTTGACTGATGGTTCTTGAGAAATCCTAAAACAATTTATTCTACCAAAAATTGGATAATGATGACTTTTTAATTCCCTGAGAACCAACTTAAACTTCAGTTGAACAAATATGTCCAGTCACTGAATATATCTAACATTTGGAAGTGCAGTGTGGGGGTAGTGTTACAGTTACTCTCTTTAATAAAGAATTTATTAATATTTTCTAACATATGGCCTGGTGTAAAGAATTTAATTGTATCTACACAAATGGGCAGAAATAGCTAGTTTGCTCAAATATAATTACCCTTAACATAGTGTAAGAGTTGACTATGTTTAGAGAAAATTAAATTATTTTTGAAATTGTGAATAACTTTTATTCAAGAAATGTTTCAAATCTTTTAAACAATATCACAATTAGAAAGAAGAGGGACAAATAATGGAGACAAATTAACTTTTTGTTCCTGAGTTGCATTGAAAACTGAAGGTCACTCCTGCTCCACTTTCTGCTGAGCAAGTATCAACTGATGGCCCTATTGAGCTCATGAAAAAGGTACTTTTGGCTTCCCACTTGCAATTGGCAAGATCTCTTAACCTTTGACATGTTTTGGCTGAGACTGTCAATAAGCTCAAGCTGCCATTACAAGCAAATCCTGCACTATACATGTCTAGTCAACTGTGGACTTGCCATTTATTTCTCCTCTATGGGATTTTTAAAAGCATAGAGAAAGTCTTTTACCCAGTCTTTTTTTTTACTCTTTCTTTTCTTTCCGTCTCCCATTTTTTGGACGTTAGCCCATCGTCAGATCATTCAAGCCTTTTCTGACTTTGAAAAAAAGACAGAAAGGAAAGAGAGAGACACTCTCACGGGGTTCCCTTTTGTCAGACTCATGGTATGGGGGAGGAGGAGGGAGCGGGTACAGGGTGAAGGTGCTGGTTATAAGATGGGGGTTTTGGTGGTGGGGGCAGGCGCTTCTAATGGCTGCTCCCCCACCCCACCCCCCACCCCCCAATAAGTCTTTGTTACTCACCTGAGAGGTGAAGAGCTAGACAAGATCTTATTAATGACCAAGCATTTTGAATAGGGCTCTACAAAGTGTGGCAAAATGGTTCCTTTCATCACACATTTAAAGCA